GCAGGTTTTAACATTTCTAGTTAATTTGGGGTTTTAAACAGTTTCTCCATAGTTCATAAAACTGTTTAAGTGCAGCAATAATGATCAGAGCTGCTCTCTGTTCCTTCTGCATAACAATCCATTCTACCAGAGTTTAACTCCTTCATATATATATTTTTTTTTCATCTGCAGAAGCGATGACAGCCTGTAGGTGGTGTCTGTCTTCTGGATCTGATTGGTTGATTCTCCGATGTCCTGTTTCAAAAGGCGCCCCAGCGTCCAAAGCTTGGATGCTGAGACGCCAAAACGCTCGAAATGCCAGCTCCCGATGCTCGAACACACCACTGGACCCCTCAATGCCATCCCACAAAGACTTTGCATGTAAATCAGACACTTTGATGCTCAGAAAGCAGCCGGTGTGAACAAAGCTTTAGATCTTCTAAACCTCAGAGAAAGGCAGCAGCACTTGAGTTAAAGGTGTTATCTGGCATATGCTGGCGGCCAGATCCACCAAAGCCCAGATATGTAAGCCGAGGGTCAAATTCTGGCTTAAAATCACTGTTCTGTGAGATGAGCACACCTAGTCAGACCAGCATACCCATGGTCAATACTTGTTTATCCCTTTAGTTTGGTGTGAAAAATATTCTTTAAACTACCTGGAGGGGCGTGTATCCCTTTAGTCATGTACAAAAAAACTATTTAATTACTTACTCTTTTGAAGAGTATGCGGATCTGTTTTTTTGTACATGACTAAAGGGATAAACGCTCCTCGAGGTAGTTTAAAGAATATTTTTCACACCAAACTAAAGGGATCAATGCAAATCTGACATCTTGTACATGCGTATTGACTATGGGTATGCTGGTCTGACAGAACAGTGACTTTGCAGCTCTGAAACATAATGTTGCACCAAATCTTCTCCTTAGTTTTCTGACAGTGTGGCTGATTGATGTGAAATCTGCAGCCTGTTATCAATGTTATAAGCTGCTGATAGCAGGTGATCTGCTGAGTTATAGCCTTTAGTCAGGCCGATACTTGCTGCCACTTAATGGTCATACGCCTAAGGCACAACCCTACTGAACACATCAACATTTTTATCGATAACTGAAATAAACCAAATATACAACAAATCAGAGAAAGTTGAAGTTAAAAGGTAAAAAATGGAATAAAAACGATCGATGTTTAGACTCCTTCCTTCCTTCATGTGAAAATTGGATCAATGGCAAAATGAACGGCTGATGAAAAGGCTTTTAGTTACCAAAGTATTACATAAATAGTCGTTGGAAGTGAGGAGACCTTTCTAAACTACTAAATGTTCCAGCGAGTGTCTCTGAAACCATAATGCAGACGGAAGAGCATCAGTGCAATGGTCCATATGTTTACTTGATGCACAAGACTCCACCGCTGAAGATAAAGCTGGTTTGAAGTTGGCAGCAGGAGACTTGGATGAGGAGGAAATATATTCTGGTCAGTTCATGTTAAAGCTGAAGTTATTTTATAACAACCTGAACATGAAACAAACGTCATTGTTCAAAAAAGAATATCATCCAAAACCACAGCAATGGATCGAAGAGTTTCTGAGAGAGAAAGCGAAACGCCTAGGATCACATCAAAAGGCCAAGCAGCAGCAGAAAAACCGATCAATCTCTGCAGAAATGCTCCCTGAAGACGGATTTAACACTAGATGTCCCAGAGAATTTCAGTTTTCCTCCAACCCCCCCCTCCCCTCTTCTAGTTTGTGTATTCACTCTACCTTGCTAACTGTCCAAATAACCTGTGATGTGACCAGCCCTTCTACAGGAGGCTGGATAAACAAACTGGCATCAGAACCAGAGCATGCTCCCAACACTTTTCATTACCTTCCCTGCAACATCAGACCTTTCTGCAGGAATATCTTGATAAGTCATATCTAAATCTTTAATTGAGGCAAACCTATTGAACAACCAGATATCATACGGGTCCTAGTTCCTGAGCTGAGAACAGGTCATAACCAGCTTTTCCAACAAGGCAAGGCAGAGCCTATTTATATTGTCCATTCACCAACAGACTCATTTATATTGCAAAGCTCACTATGTGAAAGAAAGAACAACATAGAGAACAATTGGATTTTGTCTTGTCTCACCTTTTCACGTCATTCAACATTACAGCTTAGAGAATAACAAACAGTCTGATTTCAGTACAGCAGTAACATTTATTTCACCCAAGGAAAAGCTCTACATATGAAGCTACAATTGTCCCATTAGGCAGTTTCTACAAACCCAAGGTGAGTCCTTCCTGCATGTCTGACAGGTATACTGTGTGCAGTGAACACAACGCTCAGTGCTGTGGTTCCTGTTGCAGAGATTGAACACCTGGCCTGCTTAGAATAACAATGAAAATAAATCTATAAAAATAGAGTTTAACACATTTTCCCAAAGTAAGAGTTGTAGTATGAACTAGATGAGGTTATCTATGTGTGCTACAAGTTTGGTGGCACTACAGTGATCTATAGTGTAATTATTGGCTATTATATGCTCATAATAACAATGAATAAATCTCAAAGTCTCTAAAGTTTGGCATATCTTCCCAAAGTAAGAAAAAAAAGAATGTTAGAACTGTAAATATACATTAATATGTTTATATAACAATTTTTTTATGTATTTATTACTGTTTTCAGGGCTGCACTTTAAAATATGAAATTGTCTAGAGCTGTTCTAAACGGTCATGTCCATAATCCTGGTCATATCACAGGTTATTAGCATTACAACAAGGACAGTTAGCACGGTAGAGTGAATACACAGACTAGAAGAGGGGAGGGGGGCTTGGAGGAAAACTGGAATTCTTCGAGACATCTAGTGTTAAAAGCACTTTTATTGAACAGCAACAGAAAAGAGAACTTTTAACTTAATTCTCTGAGCTCTGTGAGCGCTAACCTGGAAGCTGCTGCTGCCGCAGTGCATGCTGGGACAGCTGTCAGTCTGGAGAACTGACAAGTCTGCTCTGATGCATGCTGGGTAAAGAGGGAGGGGCCAGAACAACATCCGGGGACTTTGTCCGTTCTGTCTGCTGTTCTTCTGAACTGGAACACTACTAGTGTTGAGGCTGGTGACGTTTCACGAGGACACGAGGACGCACAAGTACACTGATTGAGAAACGACTCATGTCTGCTTTCTTCTTCTTCATGTTTTTTTGCAAGATGTCAAAAAACTAAATTCTATGCAGTTTGGAACTAAATGGCTGATTTATATATATATTTTCTTTACTCGTTTCTGTAAAACTCTGCACAGGTTTAACAGACAGCAAAACAAAAAACAAAAACAAACCAATAGTAGGGTTTCAGAGTCTCCTGCAGCTGGATGACATAAGGTATGTAAATTATTCCGTAAAAATTCAAAAAATATCCACTGGACTTGGTTTTCAAGATTTGAAGACGTTTCTCCACCTCTCCAGGAAGCTTTCTCAATTCAAATGTCTGGATCCGCAGTGAGTTTGAGTCTTATATAGACAAAGCCTTGTATCGCTTGGAAACATGCAAATGGTAACCGATGAGTGGGTCGTTAGTTCCATCGTTAGCCTGTAATATCTGAACCTGTCTATGATTCTAGGGGTCGGTCGTTAAAGGGGGGATTGTCATTGAGGGGGGGATTGTCTCCTGTAATACCTGAAACCTGTCTATGATTGTTAAGGGTCGGTCGTTAAGGAGGTATTGTTCACCGGCTGGAGCGGGTAGGTCCCTCGTTCCTCTATGATGGGGTGGGGGGTTTGGTGATATCTGGAAGGGATCATGTCTATGATTGAATTGTATGTTTTTGGAAGCTGGAATCTGAGTCCACCACCTCTGTTTAAAGTTGGTTTTTCTCTCTTAACATAGATGGCTTCCTTCACGCCCCTCACAAACCACCTATTTTCTTTATCCAGAATATGGACATTCTGGTCCTCAAAAGAATGTCCTTTGTCCACAAGGTGTAGGTGTACTGCGGAGTCTTGTCCAGAGGCGGCCGCTCTTCTGTGTTGGGCCATGCGTCTGTGGAGAGGTTGTTTTGTTTCTCCAATATAAAGATCAGAGCATTCCTCGCTGCACTGAACAGCATATACCACTCCGCTCATATTCGGTCTGGGGGTTTTATCTTTCGGATGCACTAGCCTCTGTTTAAGGGTTTGGTTTGGCTTGAAATGTACTGGGATCTTGTGTTTGGAGAAAATCCTCTTGAGCTTTTCAGACACTCCAGCAACATAAGGGATTGTGATGTTTTTGCGTTTAATTTTCCCATCGCTGTCTTCTGTTGCGTGTCTTTTGGATTTACTTGCTGATTTGATAAAAGCCCAGTTTGGATATCCACAGTTTCGGAGAGCATCTTTGATGTGTTTCTGTTCTTTTTGCTTCCCATCTGTTTTAGTAGGGACATGTTCTGCCCGGTGTTGTAAGGAACCTTACAGAAGACTGACTTACCCGCTCCAGCCGGTGAACAATACCTCCTTAACGACCAACCCTTAACAATCATAGACAGGTTCAGATATTACAGGCTAACGATGGAACTAACGACCCATTCATCTGTTTCTATTGCATGTTTCCAAGCGATACAAGGCGTTGTCTATATAAGACTCAAACTCACTGCGGATCCAGACATTTGAATTGAGAAAGCTTCCTGGAGAGGTGGAGAAACGTCTTCAAATCTTGAAAACCAAGTCCAGTGGATATTTTTTGAATTTTTACGGAATGACTATGACCTGGATGACTGAGAACCTTCATCAGCATATGTAAATTATGCAATGACATCATCTAGCGCCTTCTAGGACAGCCAATAGTGAGTTTTCTTGCTGAGGAGTTGGCAACACTGGTCTAACCTTCTCCTCAGCGTCGGGCTCAGAGTCAGGCAGCACACAGACAGGCAGGCAAAGCTGGGGGGGCTTAGGGAGGGGGAGAGAGAGGGGGAGAGAGGACACGGAAAGGTGGGCGGAGTTAGAGGGAGGAGAGAGAATCTGAAGCTGGGTGAGGTCTGGGGGGGGCAGTGGGGTTTGGTGGGTGTGTCAAGGTGATAAAAACCTTTCAGGACATTAGGGTCTGTGAGGTTCCGCGAGCAGATCATTGAGATCATAGCATGGAGCCTATCTTCCTCTTCCTCATCGTCGTCCAGCGACGGCGCGCGGCTGCCCGTGGTGTGGTGGTAGTTTATGGTGACTGCTTGCACCAGCGAAACAACAGAGAATGTGGTTAGAGAAAAAGGCTGAGCTGAACGCCTCCCAAAGAAACCACCTCACTGCACAACAGCTGAACACCTCACACAGAGATTAGCGTTAGCTACAGACTTCAGCAGCACTTCCTGCCCTGGTGATGCTACAGTGAACGGTCGCTTACTGGCGTCGTAGCGGTATCCTGGGTAGACGATGCGAAAGACGTAATCGGCCGCCGTCTGGTCCTCGCCGTTTCTGTCCTGCTCCATCAGCCGCGCCGCGCTGCTCCTCTTCCTCAGCTTAGGGAACACCTTCCCCTGCAACCCAAACACACAACCTACTGCATTCTGAAAGGTAGTTTGACTCTTGAACGTGAACATCTACGTTCTTCTGGTTGAAATCCAAGTTCCAGCGTCACTTGATACGAACTCTGAAAACCGGCAGAGCGGCCATGTTGGTCGTTACCTTGCCTTTCTGGGACCAGAGGGGCGGTTCCAGCTGACCTCGGGGTAGCAGTCCGGCTTCCAGGCAGGACAGGAAGGCCAGCAGGTGACCGCCGGGGGGGAAGTGCAGGGGGGGCCGCTGGATGCCATCCTGGCTGACGAGTACCAGCGTTCCTCCACAATCCGCTGGATTAGAGAGAGAAAGAAAGGTTATAAAAGAAGGAGGGAGCCGTCATAGAATGGGTCTTTTTTCCTGTTTCTATATATGAGACCAACAGTTATTCAATCTGAGATTAGAAACAGCAAACGAAATGCAGAGAGAGGATAGAAAATTGGATAATAATCATGTTTAGATCATCAGCAACTGACTGCAGCTTCCCCTTCTTAACATCAGACATTCCTGACCTCATCGGGCAGCACATTGTCTGCGTCTGCGCTACGGGTGGGCGATATATCGGATATACTCGATGTTTCTGGAGTTTCCCCAGCACACCACAGTTAAAATTAATCTATCAACCATCGAGTCCAAATTCGCATGAAGACAATAAGCCGTCTGCATCTATTTTACAGAGAGTTTTATTTTTCCCACACACTTTGAATCCATCATAAAATCTTCCTCTGTGGAAATGGTAGAATCTCAAAAATCAAGACGCCTTCAGTCGATTATCTGATCTGCTCACCGGACGTTTATTTGACAATCAAATTCAAACGCTGTCCTCAGTAAAATGTCTCACAGCGCTTTACATCATCAGTCATCTCAGCTTTTTACCAACCCCCATTCCATTTCAGGAACTCAACTTTTATGGTTGTTGCACTGTGTGGATGCATGTGCACGACTGGACGCTCTGGAGAACTTCCTGGAAGTCTCTTGGCCTGTGACCCGATGGCGTGCGAGTCAGTCACTAAGAACCCTGTTTTTGCCAAGATTTGTACGTGACTTCCAGCCTGTAGACGCCCCAATTTGCTTCTATACCTCCAAACAGGATTATTTTCTAGGAATCTAAAGCATCCGGCTAACTAACGCTGAGCGATAAACGGCAGCGTTTTGGATTTCATGCCAAGGACGTCGAACAAAAGGCGCTAATTTGTAAAACCATTGCTGCAAAAGGAAGCAGTGCAGATTTATTGCAGCACCTAAAAAGTCATCGGCTGCAGAATGAAGAATGTTATAAACTCTGCATGTCAGCGTCTCTCTGCTCGCCAATTAAAACAATTAATCAATCAGCTGTGAAGCCGATGGCGTTGGCCGCGAGTTTGAAAAATCGATCCCATATGAGAGAAACAGAAAGAAATGGAGGGAACTATTTTTAACTATTTTATTTAAATATTTTTTAGATGCTCTAATATCTGTGATGAGATGGTCAGAGGTTTTGCAGGTGTTTTCTAAACTTGGCAATGTTCTCAAATTCATAACTTTTTGTGTTTCTCTAAAATTCTCAGCAGATAAAGATCAATGCTAATAGATGCTCTGATAATGCTCTTTTTTGGACAGTATTTCCACTTTTGTTTTGAAATTTTATTTTTAATTATGCACAAAAGAGCCCTTTTTTATTTTACATTTTATAAAGTATGGGGTGTTTTTGCTTTGTTTCTTGTTAAAGGTTTAATTCTGACACCCAAAGACATCAAACGGCAGAGAAGCTTTGATCTGGTTAAAATTAAATTAAATTAAATTTGAAACCAAAAGTTTGAATGATTTTATCAGTGCAATTTCATGCTCTCAATCATTTTCGAAGGTAATTTAATCATATTGTGATATATCCTGAGCTATCTCTATAGTTCTGCTGCTATAGGCTTAGACTGCTGGAGGACATAGGGACCCCTTTTTCATCATTCTGCTTCATTCTATCTCTATTCTCCCACTCTGCAGAATCTGTTAGTTCAATCTCTAACGTTCTGCTCTCTCTGCTTTTTCTCATAGTAGCTTCATCTGGTCTGTTCCTGTTTGGCTGTGACTCCATCCTGGAGAGAAATATCAGCTGTGCTGCTGCCATCAACACCTTTGTTTCTAGATGTTGGAGATCAGCCTGTTTTCCAGTGTGGTCCTGTTTCTCTGACTGTGACTAACTGGATGTGCTCTCTTCATCCTCTGACATGGGAGCTGGCTCGGAGCTCGTCTGCCTGGCTGTGTGTTTCCTGGACGGGGCCGCCTGTGGAGCTGGTTGACAGTTGCCTTTTGTATCTATGCTTCTTTTTCTATGTCTGCTTCTGTCTCCTTGAACCCCAGTGGGCCTCAGCAGATGGCCGCTCACACTGAGCCTGGTTCTGCTGGAGGTTTCTTCCTGTTCAAAGGGAGTTTTTCCTCTCCACTGTCGCTACAAGCATGCTTAGTGTGAGGGATTGCTGAAGAGTCAATGAGTCGATGCAATCAGCTGGTTTTCCTTAGATAGAAAACTTTGAATCAATCTGACTGGATGATCTGGTGAACTGGAAAGTGACCTGAGATGACAGGATGTGAATTGGAGCTATAGAAATAAACTGAATAGAATATATCGTGTATCGCGATATAGCCCAAATATATGATGATGTTAGATGTTCTTCATATCGCCCAGCCCTAGCCTGCACTGCAGAGGTGACTGAGCCAGCAGCTCTGTACTCACGCCGTTGGTGACAGTGGATGCAAACGATCTGGCGCAGAGGAACAGTCAGTGCGTAGTCCCAGTAAATGCTGGAAAAAGTGATTTCAGGTTTAGCTGGACAGGCAGCAAGTTCAGTTCAGTTTAAACACTGAAAGCTTCTCTTCTCTAACCTTTTCTCCAGATCACAGTCTCCCAGAGTACCGTTGATGAGCTGGTTAGGGGTCCACTTCAGAGTGAGGTTTTCCACAGCCTGATGGAGAGACAAGTAGCCCCGTAACACCTCCATGTCCTTCTTCTGCCATGTTTAAGACGGAGCAAATAATAGATTCAATGTTTGAGGTTAATGGGAGAACATTTCATAAAACATAAAGCTGTAGATTAACATGATCGGAGTAATTTCCCTGCTGCACCACTAGTAGGTGCTATGTCTTTTCAGAACTCATTCACCTGATCAGAATACGGCATATTAGGGCCATTCAAAGATGGGGGAAAAAATGGAATTTAATGGCATATTTACGAAAATAAACAAGCTAATTTACGAGATTATAAACCTGCAGATTTAGAAGGTAACAAGTAGCAAATGTACGAGAATAAAAAGGCACATTTAAAAGAATAAAAATGCTAATTTACGAGATTACAAACCTGCAGATTTATCATTCATTTGTACTTTAGAAACTTCCATGAGGCCGTTGTTCCATCTAATTCCATCGCTAAAGCTCCCAAAAGAATCATGTATTTGCATGTGCTTTACGTAGCATACTTTTACGTGTATTATAATCTCTTATTCTTTTCGTACGGAAGCCTAGAGCGGTCGTACTCGACTTCTTTTTTTTTCCATTTTCCATCTCGAGATAATGACATAACTATCTCGTTATCATGGTTAAACCATTAATTGTTTTCAGTTATTGAGTTGTTGAGATAACGAGATGATTAACCTGTGTGAGTAATGAATGAGGCTGGCAAACAGCCCTGGATTCCCAGTCCATCCATGCCTGCAGAGCGCCTTGTTGGGCAGTCACGGTACCGCATGTGCCTAAATAATCAGTTTTTGTTGGGATCCAAAGGTTTGCCCTCCAGAGGGCGATGTGGATCCTTCTCTGGGAGCTGCTGCTCAGCGCTCACACCTGATCCCCATCAGCTCTGCTGATTAACCTCTCCCTATATAAGCTGATTGATAGCTTCACTCTGAGCCGGATTGTTGTCCTTGCCATGGAAGCAAACCTGAGCCACCCTGCCTGCCTGAACCTGTTAATCTGTGCCTGTTGAACCCAGCCTGTCTGAACCTGCAAACCTGTGAGTTTGAGCCTGTAAACCTGTAACCTGAACCTAACCTGTTTGTCCTCTCTGCCTTCCAGGGTAGAACCCTGTGTGTCACCAATAAATATTGGACTTTAATCCTGCCTGTCTGTTCTGTGAGTTCTGCATCTTGGGCTAGCAAACCAACCACATCATGACAGAACAATCTGGCCAACAGACTAGCCCAGCAGACTCCTTCTACACGCTCCTGGAGAGGCCCGCTCTGAAACGTCCGCCTCCACCCTGGCAGGTGGCGTGGAATCGACATTATGAGGAGTTGGTGGCCTCTTTAGCTCCTGAGCTCGCTCTGAGCCGTCTAGAGACCCCTGAGCCCGCTCTGAGCCGTCTGGAGACCCCTGAGTCCGCTCTGAGCCGTCTGGAGACCCCTGAGCCCGCTCTGAGCCGTCTGGAGACCCCTGAGCCCGCTCTGTGTCTTCCACCATCATCCTGGTGGGAGGAGTGGCGCCGGCGTAATGAGGAGTTGAATCGTCAATGGGAGATGGAGCGGCGTCGACAAGATGAGGAGTGGGATCGCAAATGGCAGGAAACTCTTAGCCGTCTAAGGACCCCTTGGCCCGGTTGGAGCCGTTGGGAGAACCCTGAGCCTAATCTGTTAAATCCAGAGACTCCTGAATCGGAACCACAAGCGATGACCTCCTCTGCTCCTGATGCGCAGCTGCAGTGGGCGGCTTCCGGTGTTCGTGATTCGGAACCGCAATCGGCGGCTTCCGGTGCTCCTGGGGTGGAGCCGCCATCGGCGGCCTCTTCTGTTCCTGATCCGGAGCCGCAATCGGCAGCCTCCTGTGTTCCTGTGGAGCCACAATCGGTGGTCTCCTCTGCTCCTGGGGTGGAGCCGCAATCGGCGGCCTCTTCTGTTCCTGATTCGGAGCCACAGTCGGTGGCTTCCGGTGCTCCTGATTCGGAGCCACAGTCGGTGGCTTCCGGTGTTCCTGATTCGGAACCGCAATCGGCGGCCTCTTCTGTTCCTGATTCGGAGCCACAGTCGGTGGCTTCCGGTGCTCCTGATTCGGAGCCACAGTCGGTGGCTTCCGGTGCTCCTGATTCGGAGCCACAGTCGGTGGCTTCCGGTGTTCCTGATTCGGAGCCACAGTCGGTGGCTTCCAGCGCTCCTGATTCGGAACCGCAGTCGGCGGCTTCCGGTCCTCCTGATTCGGAGCCACAGTCGGTGGCTTCCGGTGTACCTGATGCGGAGCCGCAATCAACGGCCTCCTCAGTTCCTGATCCAGAGCTACAGTGGGTGACCAACTCGAAGCCTGTTGCTGAGCCGCAGCAGCAGAGACGGCGTCTTCCTCGGTGCTTCCTGCTGAAGCAGAGACAGCGTCTTCCTCCAAGGCCCCTGCAGCTTCTGAGACTCCGGTCCCGCGGCCGGCCACCTGAAACTCTGCCCTGCTGCCGGTCCCACGGCCGGCCATCTGAGACTCTGTCCTGCTGCCGGCCCCGCGGCCGGCCACCTGAAACCCTGCCCTGCTGCCGGCCCCACGGCCGGTCATCTGAGACTCTGCCTTGTCCCCGGCCCCGCGGCCGGCCACCTGGAACCCTGCCTAGCTGCCGGCCCCACGGCAGGCCACCTGAGACTTTCCCTGTCCTCGCCCACCCTGGGTGGGTTGTTTTGAGTTCTGGACCCTGTTTTTGTTTCTGTGCCTGGCCCTCCTTTTCTGTTTTCCCCTCCGCTCGCCCTGGGTGGGTTGTTTTGTTTTCTGGTTTTTTGTTTTTGGGCGTCTGGTATCCGCCCTTGAGGGGGGGGTACTGTTGGGATCCAGGGGTTTGACCTCCAGAGGGCGATGTGGATCCTTCTCTGGGAGCTGCTGCTCAGCGCTCACACCTGATCCCCATCAGCTCTGCTGATTAACCTCTCCCTATATAAGCTGATTGATAGCTTCACTCTGAGCCGGATTGTTGTCCTTGCCATGGAAGCAAACCTGAGCCACCCTGCCTGCCTGAACCTGTTAATCTGTGCCTGTTGAACCCAGCCTGTCTGAACCTGCAAACCTGTGAGTTTGAGCCTGTAAACCTGTAACACTGCAAAAAATATAAATCTCAATAAGTTATTTTTTCTTAAAATAAGTGTGTTTTTCCTTGATTTGAGGAGATAAGTAAGACACTTTGCCAATGGAACAAGACAATTTCCTTTTAAAATAAGAAAAAAATATTTTATCGTCTTATTTCAAGTAAATATTATCTAACTATCTTATTTTAAGAGTGAAAATACTCATTCCATTGGCAAATCATCTTATTTACCTGCTCAAATTAAGGCTAAATATACTTAATTTAAGCCATTTTTTACTTATTTCTGGATTGTTTTTGCAGTGACCTAACCTGTTTGTCCTCTCTGCCTTCCAGGGTAGAACCCTGTGTGTCACCAATAAATATTGGACTTTAATCGTGCCTGTCTGTTCTGTGAGTTCTGCATCTTGGGCTAGCAAACCAACCACATCATGACAGTTTTTTAGTTTCCTTTGTCTTTCCACCTATTGTCAGGTCGTGGCGGATTATTCGATTGCAGAAGACATAAATCTGTTTTTTAATGAAAATCTTTACTCATTTTGGGGGTTAATCTTATAGCTGTTCCAGGCTTTTCAGCAAACACCTGGAGGCATCGGTCTGATCTGCTTCTGTCTCCTTGAACCCCAGTGGGCCTCAGCAGATGGCCGCTCACACTGAGCCTGGTTCTGCTGGAGGTTTCTTCCTGTTCAAAGGGAGTTTTTCCTCTCCACTGTCGCTACAAGCATGCTTAGTGTGAGGGATTGCTGAAGAGTCAATGAGTCGATGCAATCAACTGGTTTTCCTTAGATAGAAAACTTTGAATCAATTTGACTGGATGATCTGGTTCAAACTGTAAAAACCTTGAGATGACATGTGTTGTGAATTTGGCGCTATATAAATAAACTGAATTGAATTTCATTGAATCAGAACTGGAAGCAAACCAACAACATTATGTCCTTACCTGAACACAGGATTATTTACAGAATTACACATAGATTGCCATGACTTATAAATCCTCTTCCGCTGTTGTGATATTAAAGGATGGAATCAGTTTTAACTGTTTTATCTTTAGATACTGACATAATTAACTTGTTTTCTCGAGAAAACAACAATGAAAAAGTATCTGAGGGACACGACCGCTCTGGGCTTCCGTAGTTTTCGTAAATGGGCATGTTTATTGCAGGTTTTTTATTAATTTGCTCATAAATGTGTGTGTTTATTTTAGTAAAAATGTCACAGTGCCGGTGAAAATCCCAGTCATCCAGGTCATCTTTATTCCAAAAAATATAAAAACTATCCAATGGACTTTGTTTCCAAGTTTGAAGATGTTTCTTGAAGACGTGAATTGAAAAAACTTCCTGGATGGGAAGTGAAATGTCTTCAAATTTGGGGAAAAAAAAGCTTTTTGATTTTTTTTTGGAATAAAAATGCAACTTCAAACTAAAAAAGTTCAACTCGGTTTTTTTGTTTTGTTTTGTTTTTGTTTCTGAATGGCCGTAATACGCCGCCGTAGATGTAGTAACACCCACTGCATACAGGCTCCATCCCTACGGCGGGCGGGGGTCAGAGTCAGGGGGACGTACCGGCTGCACCAGGACGTTGTTTTTGCCATAAAGGAGGTGCGTTCTGGAGTTCTGATGGAGAGACTCCACATACTCTCTGGCAGACGCTGCAAACCGATCTTCTGATATGCTGCCGCTGGACTGCCTCTTACGGATCTGAAAACAGATCTTTAACATTTGGTTCAGAAAACAAACTTCCAGAAGACCTAAACCTGAGACATGTGATCTGAACTCACCCCCAAAGCAGGCCGGCGGCCGGACACATCCAGGCTGCGGTGGGCCCCGTGGATACGGTGGCGCTGAACCAGCTCATTGGCTGAGGGGTCTGACCAGAAATGATCGGACGTTTTCAGCTTTGTGTATTCCAGAGCACAGGGTCCCACTGAAAGCACAGAAAACACATCACAGAGATCTGTTTGCTCTAGATTTGTCTCTCCATTTAGGAGGTTTCTGCAGAATACCAGTCAGCCGGTCATTTTATGGCTCTGGAGGAGCAAACTTAGACTGAAGAAAGAATGAGGCTGTGTATCAAAATAAAAGATTAATTCCTGACAGGATTCAGTAATGAATAAATTGAATAAAATAAACATGGCGTGGTTTTAAAAAGAAACGCATGAATGTGTCTGTCTGAGATGCAGCAGGTTTGGATTCTTAGGAATGAGGTTGAAATCTGTGTAAAAACTCAAGCGACTCTTTGGGGCTCTTTGGGGCCCCCCCGAGGAAACAGGCGGCCAAAAAGAGTCTCTTACATTCAGGGGCAGATTTAAGAACTTTGAGGCCCCAGGCAAAGACGGGCAGGGGGCCAGTATTTCACTGACATACATCAGTAGCTACGTGGTTGGAGGAGAGACACACAGCAGCATTAAATTGCAGCTCCTTCGATGTATGTTTAAGTAAAAGTTAGGAGACCTCATATGGTGAGACATAGGAAGACAAGAGCGACCCCCCCATCCCCCCTGCCAAACAATAATGTTTTTATACTTTTCCTCTATGCAAACCTAAGAAATACTAGATAAATAATACTAATCCAAAACACAGTTTTCTTAATACTTCTTGAATTATTGTCAAATCTGTATTAATCCAAAGAGAGAAGATGAGCATAAACAGCGTAACTCATCAGGTTGAGTGTTGCTGACTGAGGCTCCACCGTTTCATCGTACAGCTCCGCCTCCCATCGCCGTTATTTAAGCTCATGTTTTAGTTTTGTTTTCTGTGAGGCTTATGTCCTCCCCTCCAGGTTTAGGAACAAGTTTAGGTGTTTAAACTGCAGTCACTCACCAAGCAGGGCTGCTAGGATGGGACCAAAGACCGGGTCGTGCATCAGAGCTTCCCTCTCATAGTATTTGCTGCAGAGATAAAGTGAAATAAAATAACAGCGTTAGTGAGCGTCTTGTGAACAGTGAAATCTACAGCAGCTTTAGGGTTTCTTCAGTGAAGTTGGTGAATAGGAAGCCCATCAGGCTGCTCTTTGCCAGGAGGTCACAACCTGCAGCAGTCATCTTCCAGTTGCTCTTTATTTCAGACGGAGCCACACAGAAGCTGACATTTAGTGTGGGCGTCTCATGTCAGATTAGATGAACTATCCTGCTGTGGTGTGAACATGGCGTCAGATTGACTGGAGTTTCCATCTTCTGAATGGCAGCATCAATGATGATGTATTCTTCCCTCCGTTAAATTAAAACTTTTCTTAGACATTTTATTAAAAAACACTTCTGTTGTTCTTCCAGAATAGAATTTAAAATCCTCCTTCTCACATATAAAAATGCAGAGATGGCAAAAGTACTCACTTTCCGTACTTGAGTAAAAGTACCGATACTTGTGTTAAAAAATACTCTGGTAAAAGTGGAAGTACTGATTAAACTTCTTTACTCAAGTTAAACTAACAAAGTGCAGGCTTGTAAATTTACTTAAAGTATAAAAGTAAAAGTAGAAACCACTTTTTTCATGCCGTTGCCTACATTTTAAATGGATGTCTGCCAATAGGACTAGATCTCCGTTGTGTTCATTTTCAATCATCTCGTCGTCCATGCTACTATGCTAACGCCACCGCCACCAAGCTGCAATGATTTGCCGCCAATGAATACCGCCGAATCTGTCGATTCATCTTGTAGCGGTGCGTCAAATGCAACGTAGATTCCCATCCAATTAGATTGAATTTGGTATTGATGACGTGAAAAATAATAACGGTAACTCCATTGAAATGATTCAAAACTAAAGTAACGAGCCAATTTAAAAAAATTTAAGGAGTAGAAAGTACAGATATTTGTGTAAAAATGTAAGGAGTAGAAGTAAAACGTCGCCATAAAAATAAGTAGTAAAGTAAAGTAAAAATATCAGAAAAATCTACTTGAGTACAGTAACGAAGTATTTGTACTTCGTTACTTCCCATCTCTGCTTAAATGGCCAAGCTCCATCTTATATCAGAGATCTGATTGTTCCTTATGTTCCTAACAGAGCACTTCGCTCTCAATCTGCAGGTTTACTAGTGGTTCCTAGAATTTCTAAAAGTAGAATGGGAGGCAGGTCTTTTAGTTCTCAGGCTCCTCTCCTGTGGAACCAACTACCAGTTTTAGTCCGTGAGGCAGACACCCTGTCTACTTTTAAGGCTAGGCTTAAAACTTTCCTTTTTGATAAAGCTTATAGTTAGAGTGGCTCAGGTTATCCTGATCTATCTCTATAGTTATGCTGCTATAGGCTTAGACTGCTGGAGGACATAGGGACCCCTTTTTCATCATTCTGCTTCATTCTATCTCTATTCTCCCACTCTGCAGAATCTGTTAGTTCAATCTCTAACGTTCTGCTCTCTCTGCTTTTTCTCATAGTAGCTTCATCTGGTCTGTTCCTGTTTGGCTGTGACTCCATCCTGGAGAGAAATATCAGCTGTGCTGCTGCCATCAACACCTTTGTTTCTAGATGTTGGAGCTTGGCCTGTTTTCCAGTGTAGTCCTGTTTCTCTGACTGTGACTAACTGGATGTGCTCTCTTCATCCTCTGACATGGGAGCTGGCTCGGAGCTCGTCTGCCTGGCTGTGTGTTTCCTGGACGGGGCCGCCTGTGGAGCTGGTTGACAGTTGCCTTTTGTATCTATGCTTCTCTTTCTATGTCTGCTTCTGTCTCCTTGAACCCCAGTGGGCCTCAGCAGATGGCCGCTCACACTGAGCCTGGTTCTGCTGGAGGTTTCTTCCTGTTCAAAGGGAGTTTTTCCTCTCCACTGTCGCTACAAGCATGCTTAGTGTTAGGGATTGCTGAAGAGTCAATGGGTCGATGCAATCACTGAATTGAATTGTTATCCTCACTCTGAGCAGGAGATGACACGCTCATTTTTCACCAAGGGCTAAACAGCTGAGTCACAGTAAGACGAGCAAAGCAATAAAAAGGAAATCATACCTGGAGTTGTCCACGATGTACTGGACTATCTTATCCAGAACTTTCTCAAAGAGAGCAGTTCGGACCCAGATGTGTTTGATAGCCTGGGCAGACAGCGGCTGGGGGGGGCGGCTGGTGGTGGAGGAGCCCTGTCTTCTCAGAGGTTCATGGCCGACGCTCTGGGCTCTCCTGCAGGGAGCAGAGGACACCTGTTCACACTCATTCATCCAAACACTCCTTTCTGATGGTCGGCCCCCTGGGGACTGGCTTCCAGGGGCCACCTGGCAGGTTACCAGTTCATCACAGACACCCAGGTCATTAATAGGACAACGTAGAGCGGTTATTTAACCTAATCTGTGTGTTTTTGCACTCTAAGGAAGCATGTGATGCCACGTCGACTGCCGAGCATTAACTTAGACTAACTTTGTCATTTTGTACAGAGTTTATACAAAGCGAACTTTCCTCAGTACAGCTCTGAAGACGTTCCCATTTCTTAAAGTGCAGCAGTGATCAAAAGTAAACATAAGACTGAGATATGATTTAAGGTTTTTCCAACATTCAGCGCTTTTTTTAATGGTTTATTCAACATTCAGCAGTCTAATGGCGGTGGGGAAGAAGCTGTTTTTGAAAGGCCACCTTTATGGATTCATGGAATAAATGCTCCTTTAGGCTTCTATAAAGGTTTTTATCACCTGAAATGTCAGAAAAAAGAAAAGGAAGAAATTTAAATTATTTCTGGGAAGAGATGAGGAATAAAAAAGACACTGATCATCTCACAGTAGACAACTTGATGGGATCTGATGTGCCTTCATTGGTGCAAAGTATTAATAACGCAGGCAGCTTTAAATGACAGACAGGCATGAATATCAGCTTTGAAAATTATCTTGTTTAACAACACTTGAATGAACAGGCTTATGGGCAAACCAAGTCATGTTGAGGTTTATAGGCTTCCTAACTATAACCATGATTTTTAGGCGCCTCTCTTTCAGACTGAAGTTGGGATGGTGTGATGCATGATGGGTGATAATGGAACAAATAAGCATAGCAGGAACAGAAAAAGTGGGAAAGCCACCAGATTCTGACAGGAGGGATTTTTATTTTACTGGAAAACGTGCAAGCTGGAGATAAAAATGAGTGCTCAATTTTACCAATACCAGTATCGGGCAGGGCCCCGATCCAGCAATAAAATGGTGGTATCGGTATCGTTGAGTACCAACAAAAAGCGCACTGATACCATTTTGAGAGCCAAATGTTTATTCTACTATTGTCACCCATTCCAGGTAGAAAATAAAAAGTTCTACTGGATTCACTTTGTTTTAGTCTTTTTCCTGCTTCTCAAAGGTAGGCAGCAGCTTGACGAAGCCATGATGGCAATTATTTTACATCCAAGTAGTCTGCAGTTCTTCATATATGCACTCACATCAATTTCAAACAGATGGTATCAGCCGATACTGCACAGCCAGGTATCGGGTCCAAAAAATGGTATCGGTACAACACTAGCTCAAACGGACAGTTTCTGAGTTTCTAAAAGGGTAATGGCAACATGGGGGGTGAGGTTGCTTGAGGACCCAAATGCAGAGATGAGAGAAGCAGAGATGACTTCTTTTTGGTTTAATGAAAAACTGAGGCAAACATCCAAAAAAGCAAAATACAAAGAACCAAAACACCAGAAAACATCAGGGAAAACTCACATGGGGAGTCAGAGACGAGGAAGAAACTAACAACAACAAGGAACCAGCAAGACTGAACATGAGGTGTATAAATGGGAGACTGAACAAAGACCAGGCTAATTGGCAGATTGGGAGCAGGTGAGGACAGAGGAGTCTAGAAGGGAGCAAGGGAAAAAAGAGACTGACACAAGAGGGCAGCAGAGGGCAAACTAAGAACTGAAAAATGGTCAAACATATAACTATAATGACACAAAATGGAAATGAAAACAATAAACTAGAAAGCTGAAAACTAAAAAAAAAGAAAACAGAACCAAAAATGTTCAGGGAGTTAAAATATATTAGACCAATAAGATATTGGTGTTTCCTACATAATTACTCCCAGAAAATCATTTTGACCACAATGTGAGCAGCTGTTGTATGTGGATAGAGCTTTAATAGCATTAGCTTCAGGCCGGGGACACTTTTGCAAACTAAAAATATGGATAAATAAATAATAAATAAATCTACTTTTGAAATGTTTCTCTTACTTTTATTTCCATTTAATTTGTATTGCGTTTAGTATAAGCACATTACCTAGCATGTTTTATCATACACTGTTGGTAACAACCAAACACAGGTATGTGTGCTTCATGGGGGGCTGAACTCCATGTCTGTCAGTGCCACCGAATGTCCCTGTCCACATGCATATGCTTTGTTTTGTGCAGCTTTAAAGTTAAAAGTCAGATTCACACAATTATTGCAAAAGGGAAAAGACATTTCAGAGCTCTGTCAGCCAAGGTGGAATGGTCTATTCAGAACGGAAGAGCCTCACTGTACAGGTCAAACCCCTAGGCTGTTTAATGTTCAAATTATACTGAATTTTATGATAATGAAAAAAAATTATTTTTTCCCACATTTTGTAAAGCCCACCTAGCGCCCCCTGGCAGCCCCCACTTTGTAGACCACTGCTACAGAGCAGTGTTTCCCATTGTGTTTCCCTCTCAGTCAAAAGTGGAACATACAATAACCGCATATAAATTAAAAACTATTTTGCTTAATCTTTCAATTTGAACATTTAATTCTTAGGAATTTTATTCCTAACATAAATATGTTGCCTGGAAATTAGTGATGAATAGAAATAAATACAAAATAAAATCAAAATGTAATCCTGTATTTATTAAACTGGAGCTGCTCTGGGAAACTCCCTTATAATCAAGTTTAAATTTGACGAATTGGGAACAAAAATTATAGAGTCAGTCTGGCAGTATTCTGTAAAGTAAAAGTAAAGTAAACTTTATTAGTTTTACTTTATTTTCATTATCGCTCAGTCTGAAAAACGAAGCCGTTCCGCTGCTTGGTTTGAATGTGTGTCAAAGCTGAAGATGAACTCAGACATTTAAGAAAAATTTACATTTTGTTTGATACAATCTTGTTTCATTTTTTTTATTTTAAATTTGGTCCTCAGAAAGCAAAACAGATTTCATTTTACTACCTAAGAAATAAATTACCTTCATGTACCCCTTGCAATGCATTCGCGGACCACTAGGGGTAAGCTAGCCCGGTTGGGAATCACTGCTGTAGAGAACAGAGGATTCTGTAAATGACGGCTGTGTGAAGAGACAGTGATTTTCTAATCCTGTATTAATTCTTAGATTCATTTTCACACAGTTGTTAGGTTGTTTAACACTAACCCAGCATCTGAAGATGGAAAGAGTAATGTTTAACTGCAGATCTATTAGACTATAGCCTTCAACATGAACGCCAAGAAGAACTGAGGTTCATGGCTCTGTTTGGAGAATTTGTTGACAGCTCAGCTTCTAATCGGCCACTTCACAAAGCAGCTGGCCTGTGAGCAGAAGGAAGAAAAACAGCCAAACAGTCAACCAGAGGCTGAAGCTGCTCTGGTTGCAGCTGATCATAAACAAGCTTTGTGGAATAGAATAATTTATAGAAATAGTTGAAAAATTGAGCTTTCAGTTCATAAAGTGGCATCTGGCTGTTTTTTTTTTAAAGGTTACTTTATTCTTTTATACTTTAAGTAGTTTTTGGAGCACATACTTTTTCACTTTTACTTGAGGTCAAGTTGATACTTCAACTTTTTGTGTTTTTAAACTGCAGGATCTATACTTCTACTGAAGTAACAAATGTGTGTACTTTTGACACCACTGCGTGCTTCCTACGTCACAGTCAGTGGCTCTCATTGGTCTGAGCGTTGGCCAATAGGGAGAGACATGGTTTGAAAAACAACGGATTGTTCTCATCAACGATCTTCTGATGTCTCATTCATCGGGGCCAGACACTGGTTACTGCCTGGACACCCTTCCAAAAATGTTCTGACTACGCCTCTGTGTAGTACTACAGTAAACATGTCAGCCTGTGGAAAAGCCTTGGTGCTGTGCTGCATTGAACGGTGATTCAAACGCCTCAGATGAGCTGAATATAAATGCACGCCAAACTTTTCAGATCTGACCAATAAAACGGATTACGTTGTCCCATAACGTCATCAAACTGATCTACTATATGCTGATCTATCACTGAAAATAAGCACAAAGATGAGGAGGAGGGAACATTTAGTCTATGACCATTAGGAGGCAGTGTGAGCCAGCATAGCCATCCATCACCTCTTTACTTCATCAGAAGTCATCAATAATTAACCTGTCTGTGTCCCTTTCCTGTCACACTCAATGTGTGGTGTCATCCAGACATCAGCGGCTGGGAGTTTGTCAGCAGATGACCTTTGTGTTTGGGAGATGAAGACTTTGATTATAGACGGAGTTTGATCAGCCCTGGAACAGGAACACATCCACCAACACGCACCGACTTCCACGAGCTAATGAGCTGCTGCAGTCACGATGTCAGACACTCTGTAAGTGTGCGTGCACATGCATGCATGTGGGTGTGCTCGTATGCCAGCAGGGTTTCAGCTAAGTCCCGATTCTTGCAGTCCCCTAACGCTGGAAGTGTGCTCAGCACTTCAGAGGCCGTCGAGGAGGAAGATGTGAGAGAGAAACGATGGATGCCTGCAGTGTGGGAGGAATCCATGGTGGGTGTTAAAGGCAGGAGGAACCGGAACGAGAGCATTTCCTCGTCCATACCTGAACATCTATCTATGGATCAGTTTGGTGAAAGAAGAGGAAGAACCTTGTATAACTTGTTAGCAATATTCAGCTGGGAGATGAGATTAAAAAGAATGAAACAACCAAACTTTCTGCCTGCTTCCTGTTATGCAGCAGGTAAGACAGAGCAGTCACTGTCCCTTGACTGGCTTTAGATTATAACCCAAGAAAAAACCCATCAAAAACATTTAAAGCCAAGCAAACAAACAAACAAACAAACAAAAAAAACAATTATTGCTAAATGTTATAGTTTCAACCTTTATTCCACTAAAAATAGTTATTTCTTAAAAAAAACAAGAAAACTGGAAAAAAAAAAAAAATGATTACAAAACAAAATCACATACTGCAAAACCAAATCCTAATTTTATTTTTTCGCAGTTTCTGCATACGGCGCCCCCACTGGCCACGGCAGTGTTGTGCACCTGCATGAAAAAAGCGTTGCAGTCTGCCGCCGGGACAAACAGGTCTTTTGTTTAGGAAATAATGTCTTCTGAGGAAGGAAATACGGCTTTGCAATTAAATGCATTTACAATATAATTGCAATTTAACAAAAAATTTTAAATTGTAAAGGCACTCCTTTTTAATTCCACTATATTTAACAAGAGTAAAGCCTTTCCCCCTGAAAAAACAGCGTTAACGTGTATTTTTCACACATGTGACGCCATTTTCAAATGCTTACAATTGGCATTGTGCTCCCCTTACATTAGCAAAAAAAGCTGAGTCTAACCCAGTGGCAGCTGGTCAATAGAGGGCGCTAGGGTGCCGCCCCCACCCACCCAATGAACTTGATTAAGGCATAAAAAAGCTAATAAAAATTAAATTATAAAATCTAAATATCTCAAAATATATTGATTTATATATTTTTAGATGATTTTTTAGATCATCCCAAATTGCAAAGCAGGAAAACCTCTTCCTTTTGTAACTTTGTATCGTCCTCCAGGTCCCTTCTCTGAACTTTTAGATGACTTTTCAAAATTCCTCTCTGATTTGGTGCTGAATCCTGAAAGGGTCATAATAGTGGGGGATTTTAACATCCATGCTGACATTGAAGGTTATAGCTTAATGCTATCTTAGACTCGACTGGCTTTGTTCAAAATGTGAGTAGTCACACACATTCTCATCTTCATATTTTGGACCTTGTGCTCACATACAGTACGGCATTGAGCGTAAAAATTAACAGCATTTCCTCACAACCCTGTCCTCTTTGACCACTTTTTAATAACATCTGCTTGTGTTTCTATGTCTGCTTCTGTCTCCTTGAACCCCAGTGGGCCTCAGCAGATGGCCGCTCACACTGAGCCTGGTTCACCTAGAGGTTTCTTCCTGTTCAAAGGGAGTTTTTCCTCTCCACTGTCGCTACAAGCATGCTTAGTGTGAGGGATTGCTGAAGAGTCAATGAGTCGATGCAATCAGCTGGTTTTCCTTAGAAAACTTTGAATAAATCTGACTGGATGATCTGGTGAACTGGAAAGTGCCTTGAGTGTGAATTGGCGCTGTAGAAATAAACTGAATTGAATTGAAGATACAGCTTTCTATCTAATAGAAATTAGCATGTGAAGGGAATATGGATGGAATCGAAAATCGGTTTCTGTTCAGAACCAGTTCCATGTGTTCCAATTTCGTGGCACCGTTTGCAGCTCGTTTAACGATTCTCTTGTCCTATCCATGCAGCACCAGAGCCTAGCGCTGGGCAGCACGACTTACGTCACGTTTTTATGCTAGTTACGCCTACCGCATTCAGTAAGGAAGTACGACAGGACCAGGCGTAAGTCTAGAAAAGCAAAACAAAAAAATGGCGTCCCATCTGGTCAAGCGATCGAAAGTTTGGCTTAATTTTAAGGGAGAGAAAGATGGCAACAAGGCGCTTTGAAATCAATGCAAAGTGGCAATTACATCTGCATGAGGAAATACATCCAACATGCAGAAACACCTGCGCACACAATATGGCTTATGTTTTAACTAATGCCATGTTTTTGATGCTTCCGGACAGAAGCTAAAGTTACGACCACCATGGAAGGAAACTCTGGTGGTTAGTAGCTAGTTTATGTCACTGGCTGTGCTTAATATGGTTCCTACTACATCAGATCCCATTTCTGGAAATAAACCAGCTTCCTATCTCTCTTTGGGGTTATTCAGGGAGTGTTCCTTTCTCGTTAATCCAGCCCTTCATTGCTAGCATGTTTAATTAGAACTACAGGTAGCTGGAATTCTTACATGATTCTAGCTATTGCAATGGATGTAACAAAGTATGCAATGAATGTTTATTTGAATCAGGGGGAGATGAGTTTATTTCCCAAAATTGTACAGAAATGTTTTTCATTAAACGGAATCGATAAGGAATCGAACCGTTTCATAGAATCGATAACGGAATCGGAATCGTGAAAGTCTTATCAGTTCCCAACCCTAGAAGGGAACCAGCTTCTTGGTTGGTTGGAGCTGCTTTGGGGTTTTCATGTAGGTGTGCAGATTGGACCACAGCCAGGCGTCTCTATTTGCTCTTATTAAATGTACTAAATTATCCAAATCCATCTGCTAAGTGTAAAATTTTTAGCTTTTAAAAAATTATTTCTCTGGGCTTTGTTGATCTGATATTTGCTGGAATCTGCATCCATCGCCGGTAATATCGGCAACTGCACTAAATGTTTTCCTTTCTATTAATGAGAAATGGCTCTCACTGCAGAATAGTGGACTTTATACTGTTTGGAAAGGGAGCGACTAGCCTTTAAGGATTAATTTGCAACAACTGGTGCCTCTTTAAGGTAATTGCTGATGTCTTTCATACAGGACATCAGGCACCTATATAATCCGTGGTGACAGGACACTATACGCCCTAAAGAAACACATGAAAACGGAGATGTTTAGTTGCAGGGTTTCACAGCCAGGTTTACGCAGACAAACACTGAATTTCATCCATGTCCCAAACATAAACCTCTGGCTCTACTGATCACATTCCGCTTCCTTCCTCTGCTAATCTTTGCTCTTCTCTCCCATCAAAGCCTTTGTTTTTACTCCTCTGTGCTGCTAATGGAGCTGACCGCATTACCATGGAAACCAGGGTAAATGGGTGAAAGCGCCCTGAGGTAGTAGGATAAGAGTTAGCATGACTGACTGCGTGTGCTCGACTGCCTGTATGGAGGAAGGGTGTGACCGGAGCAAAGCGAAGCTGCGCTCGTTAGCAGGCGTTCATGCCTCAGCCTGGAGAAACAGCCTGCTGGATGTGAAAGCTGCGGAAGGACGCCTGCTGAGCTGATTCACATCAGGAGCTCCTCTCTCTAAAAACCACATCCTCTTCTTTACCTCAGGAGCCACAGAGGGTCCGGCGCTGCAGCCACTGAGGTCTGCCTGTGAGCCTGACACCCAAAGCTCTCAGTCCTTCATCTGGCTGCAGCCCTGGAGGACGTGGAAGCCATGTGGCACCGGCTAATGCTCCATTAAAGGGACCCTTCACAACGCAGCTGGTAGCTAAGTGCCTGCAGATCAGGCAGCTCATCATATTCCACACAAACACCCACAGAGCAAAACACAATAACCCACACCTCTGTGGGAGCTGGTAGCTGCAGCCCCCAGGCTTATCTCACCTGTAGACAAACTGCTCAGCTTAAAAAAAGCAGACAGTCCAGTCTGCTCAGTTATCAGCACGCTGGGGACGGTTTGGAAAGGTCCAACCACAGAGAGATAAGAACAGGTGGTCGTAAATCCCAGCCGTGCATCGCTTTGCTAACTGTTCATGCTTTGCTGCTATATTTTCACCAATGATGACAATATATGTCTCTGCTGTGTGTATATCTATATATATATATATATATATATATATATATATATATATATATATATATATACATATATATATATAGTGTAAGTCTGTTTATTTTAATGCATTATCTCATTTTTATCTACCTAAAAACCCTATTCTGCCAAATTTGAACTCTGTAATGTGTTGTTTTATTCCTTTTTATCTTTGTTTTATTTACTGTAAAATGTTTACTGTTGTCTTAAAATTTTTTTTTTTTTTTAGGGAGACAATTTTAAGATATGTCAACAGATGAAAAATAGTCTCTTTGCTAATTCTGGTGCTCTTGCAGCAAGGCTAATTAATTTACTTTATTATAAATAAAAAATATAGATATTTATTCATACGCTGATCATAGAGCCGTTAACAGATCAGTGCCTACAGTTGTTCTAGTCAAATAGTTCTAGGAAGGGCTGGCTGATTGGTTCGTTTTATTTTCTGTTAAAGTGATTTATGTTTTCTGACTGATCCGCTCTTTGGGATTCTGTAACAGCTGCTGATATCAGCTAATAACTGATAATATGTCCCGCTGCGTCCGACCATCGCCTGTTTGCTGTCAAACATGACTTCTTTATATGCCTTTAAATTAAGGTCACCTCCCAAGAGGGATGTTTCAAATAAAAGCTCATTTTTAAAGGAATTCTCTGTCATTTTTATTATTAAAGTAAAAAATAAATCAATTAATCAGTGCTTGTAGGAATAAAATCAGATATTTTATATTTAATCCATATCAGTGTTCAGCTGCAGCTTCTTCCGCTGCCACGTGCCCATGGGCCAGGCAGTAATGCCTAAAGGTCTGTGGATGAATCTGTGATCAGGTATCAGTGCTACCGACCTGTTGAGACCCGCCTGCTGTTGGAGCTGCTCCTGAACCTTCTGACAAACATCCCCCGCCGTGTCGTACACTTTGCCAACCTTGGTGAAGAGGGCGGCGATCTTGTCGCTTCGGAGAAATCCGGCTGCTCGTCTCTTCAGGAGGTGAGTCAGGCAGGCCTCGATGGCAGCTGGAGAGACAGGAGCTTTATTAAACACAGACTGGAGAGCAGCAGCGCCTGATAGACACAGGAAATAATACCAGCAGGGGCGGTTCTAGACCAAATGTACCAGGGGGCCAAGAGGGGGCCAGGAACGGGCCAGCATGTTTTCATGGGGGAACAGAAAAGCATGGAATAAAAAACAGGGCAAGGGATTAGCTGTCTGAAGTGAAATTTCTATTCAATTAGGTCTAATTAGTGGTTTACATATTTTTGACTTAATTTAAATAAAAATTACCGTTTTCTATAAAATCTTAAAATTTTATTTGTTATGAAAAAAAAGATTTAGCAGATGAAAACTGGGATCCTATCTCGATACCACTGAAGCTATCACCTTATTGTTTTAATATAATTTCTTTGAGTGTTATTTCTTCAGTACTGGGGCCCTAACAGGGGCCAGGTCATGATCTGCAGGGGCACTGGCCCCCATTGGCCCCTGTTTAGAACCGCCAATGAATCCCAGCTTTCTTTAGTTTATCTTGTTAAGGTTTGACCATCAGGCTCCTCATTTGTCTGAATTCCACATAAATAACTAAGAAGTTGATTTTTTGGGCTCAAATGTTTGCAAACCCTAGTTTTTTTTTTTTGCTCCTCAGCGACTGAAACAGCCTCACTGACGCCTGACCGCGCTAACGCCGTCTGTCAACATCACAATCAGGCCCTATCCTGGCAGCACTCAACTCCTTTCTGTTTGTATGAATATTATGCAAAATACTTTTTATATAAATTTGATTAATAGATGATGTATTTTAAAAGCCATTTAGTAAATTGCTGGAGAAACAGAAAAAAAGGTTTTGCTGCTGACATAAAAAAAAAAAACGGAGTGAAAGACGCTGACAGTCAGAAGAAGATATGAAATCGATGCCAGCAGAACTATTCTAGATATTAACCTGATTTTTTCCCTGTTTTCATCTAGGTGTTCCTCTAATTAACCTATCAGAAGCTTACAAAGATATGACATCACAATCTAACTTCAGAAACTTCTCAGCCTCATTATTGAGGAGTTTAATGAAATAAAGTGATTTTAGAAATCCTGCATGACTGAAAACAGACCTTTAATAAGGAGTCGGTTTGTATTGACTTCTGTTCCTCCAGCAGGAAAACTCAGCAGGAAAAGGTTTGTGTTAATATTTTTGTTTGTGATGCTTCCTGGTTGATGAGGAAGAAAGTCCAGTTAACAGGAGGAGAGCAAACTGGAGTCCAAGTCCAGCCTAACCGGCATTAATGTGGATCAACCAGACTTTAGAGGACAGAGTTTGGCAGAGAAACAGCTGCTCAGAGGTTCACTGGGACTCATAAGTAGTAAACGTTCAGCGGCAACTCGCCCTTCACAGCGATGGGGGACCTGGAGGCAACAAGTCAGCTCTAGATCAGGTGTTTGTTCTGCTCAGTCTCTGAACCAGGTGAGTCAATCTGTGCAGGTAAATCCACTCTGCAGACTGGAGTCACCTGATTTAGTGATTCGGCAGAATAAACACATGATCTATAGCTGACTTGTTGCATCCAGGTCCCCCATCTCTGGCTAATCAGCTGTCCTTCCTCCTCTGTAATCAGGGGCGGATATAGGAAATTTGGGGCCCTAGGCAAAGATAGCCTGGGGGCCCCTCTGAACAGATAAGAAAACACATCAAACAGCCCCGTTCTCCAGATGTAGAAATGTTAATAGAATAGACATCCATTATCTGTTCTAGGTTGTGTCCCTCTCTTCTTGTCCCTTTTCTTCTTGTTTTCCTCTCTATGTTTTGTACTCAGCTGACTTTTCATGCTGTCTCTAAAGGAATGAAAGATTTTTTCCAAGCACTAAGCTCACTTAGCTGATTGCTCCTTCCTGTGTTTCCAAAAAGGCCAAAGTAAATAACCCAGTCCTTCTTTTCACTGTAGACAAGCCATGATCTGCTTATCTGTTCTCCATTTTTCATTTGGATGAAATAATAGCTGCATGAATCATGACAGCAGACAAGATAGAGGAGAGCAGGAGGCGGGGTTACCAATCTACTCGCTCTGGAGAGCAGAGTTCGCTGCTTTTAGATGTTGTCTCCAAAGTCTCCAGTAGCAGAAAAAAGTCTCTAGATTTGGCGCTAGGAGCTTTTTAGAAATCAAAGTGCTAGAGGGGTCTGAAAAGTGGCTAAATATAGCGACTAAAGCGCTAAGTTGGAAACAGTAGAGTTTTACGCGGCCCCCAGGTACTCGGGGAACGCCCAGCCATTTGGACCTTTAAAGGCTTCCAGGAAAGAGACGTTTTCATGGAACACGACGTCCGTTACCATGGAAACCCCATCAGGCTTCTTATAAACGCTGCCGCATCTTCCGAGGGTTAAAATGAAATAGAAACCAGACAGCAGCCCTCTGCGTAACGCTGGATGATAGAGAGCTTTATCGATTTTAGTACTTATTATTTTCAACAATATTTGTAGGTTTTATGACTTCAGAAAGCCTCTCTGCTTCCTACAGGATGTTATGATGTTGATGAGGATCTGTGGGTAAGATCCATAAAAAAACCCAGACCCTCTCTGCAAATGAAAGAAAACTTTTCAATTAGGTCTCAAAGCATAAAGAGTCTTATGAAATAATTAAAGTCAGTAGAAAATGGTTTACTTTGATCTTGTTTCTTAACCCAGCTGACACAGCAGGCCTCTTTATGTGGTTGCATCACAGTTTAGCTCATAGCTCCTGGTCCTTCCTCTTTTATTGGGTCAACAGTGGAACTGGGGTAGGAAAAGAGCTCTGGCCCGCTCCCACTGAGCCTGGTTCTCCTTCTGCTGGAGGTTCCTTCCTTTTTTTCACTCCACTGTCCCCACATGCATGCAGGCAACAGTGTGTTATATTCTGCATGCTACCACCAGCAGACTCCAACCACAGCATCCACAGGCTCTTTTTCTGATCTCTGGGGACTTCAACCATGTCTCCCTGTCCTCCACCCTTCACACGTTCACCCAGTAGGTCCACTGCCAGACCAGAGACAACACAACACTGGATCTACTGTACGAACCCCTGGTGCGCAGAGAGCCAGCTGTGAGATGCACAGTAAGGAGGTCTGTGGAAAGCACTAGAGTGACTGTTTCCTTTTCTTCTCCAACAGCTGAGTAATGGGTAGGGGGGGGGGGGGGGGGGGGGCGGGCGGGGGGGGGGGGGGGCGCGGGGGGGGGCGGGTGGGGGGGGAGTCGTGGGGGGGGGGGGGGGGGGGGGGTGTGTTGGTGTGGACATCAAATTATCATCAGACTGGTCATACACATTTACATTAACTTCTGTGTGGACAACACTGTCCCTGGACCAAGAAGACTCAGGCTGGGGCCGAATGAACAAACCAGTGATCTCAGTGGGGGGGGGTTTTGTGGGGTGGGGGGGGTGGATGGGGATGATTTAGAGAATTAAGGGAAAACATGAATAAGATCTCAGGCCTTAAAACATCCAGGCTGCTGGGAGACCTGAAACCACCTGTAGATGGTTTAGAAAAGTGGGTGATAAAAGTTAAAGGTTTAGGTTGAGTAGAGTAGGGATGAATGGGGGGGGGGAATGGGGGAAATGATGAAGGTGGGGGGGGGGGGGGGGGGGGGGGGGTATAAATGAATGATTAACTTAATTCATTATTTAAAGAATTAATGAAAGAAATCAAATCAATTAAATCCAATCCTTCATCCATCCATCATCCATCCATCCATCCAGCCATCATCCATCCTTTCATCAATCCATCCATCCATCCCTCCATCCATGTATTGGGGGGGCCATTCTGGGCCATCCAGCCATCCTCCATCCATCCCTACATATTATGAATGAATGAAGGAATGGGAATGTAACATACAGCCCATTCCAGTCCATACCATACATAATGCATAATCCATCACATCCATCATCCAGAAAAATATGGATGGATGGATGATGGATGGATGATGGATGGATTCGTCATTTTATAAATAATGAAGTAGCTCAGGAGTCTTCAACATTTTCAGGCCAAGGACCCCAAACTGATGGCGAGATGGGCGCGTAAGAATCTCTCTCTCTATCTCTGGGGGGGGGGGATATATATTGTAATGTAATCTATCAAACTGGGGGGGGGGGCCTGTGGGGGGGGAGTTGGGGGGGGGGGGGGGCTGGCATATGGGGGGGGGCACTGTGGGGAGGGGGTGATGGGGGAAGCGTGGGGGAGGGGGAGAGGTAGGGGGAGTCCACCTCCTGGGCGAGATGCGAGTAAAGAGAGAGTTCGTTGGGCATTTGGAGGGGGGGGGGGGGGGGGGGGGGGGGGGTCGATGGGGGGGTTGTGGGGTGAATGTAAACGGGGCACAAGGAGGTATGGTGGAGAGGGGAGGGTGGGGGACGAGGGGTTGGGTCATGGGGGATAGGGGAGGATGGTATGAGGAGGAAGGTAGGATGCTCATTTTATTCTGTTTAACATACAGTCTAGGGGTGGAAACGATTTCAAAAATCCACGTTCGAGGCGGGATCGTTTCTGGTCACGGTTTTCGGTTCGGTTCGATACATGTTGATTGTTACCCCGAAATCCCATAAAACTTTATGAAATTAATGAAAAAATCCCCCAAAAAATAATGGTTTGTAATTATTTTTAATGATCCGCAGAAACCCTGGATCGTTTCCGCATGTTTTGCTGCTTTGAATTTAATCATCTGGCGCATGCCCTCTACCATTTCTAAGGAACTCAGAGCGGAGCGGACGGGAGCCACAGTGGAGGCTGTAGGCTTTGCTTTGAGCAGCCGGTCTGGAGCGCAGCGGGGCGGAGCGCTGATAGAGTATGAGGGATTTCGGGGTTAGCGTGACATGTTGCTGTTAGCATTAACAAAACGTGTTGCACAATGCTTGCACACTGTTGCACTTTTATCCACAGCTTTCTTCCCGCCGTCATCGTAGGTCACTCTCAATGCAAAGTGGTCCCATACAGCAGACCTATAAAGCGCTGCTGGCGCGTCTTCCAACTCCTGTTCTTTCCCACTCGCCATACCCACACAATTCTCCACAAC